CAAATTTGTATTTGCCAATAGAAATAAATTGAAACGTATATAAATAAATATACGTAAATGCTCTTACGGTTTCATTTCGCGAGCGCTTAGGCAGAGTCCAGGCACCCAGTTCTGAGTTCCTTCTGAACCATTTCGGCGTGGTGAACCCAAATATTGTTTCATAGTGTAAACTCAAAAAAAAAAAAAGATTTCGGGTCCTTTTTGCATTGCGGGGACAAGCAGCAGAAACGCGGTTTCAAATTTTCGGCTTTCGTTCTCATAACGATTGCGTGCCTTTCTCGCCTAGCCGTGCTCTAGAAAGAAGCCAGACACGAGTGCGAGTCGAATAGAAGTCTGCAGCGATTTGTTTGCTTACTGCGTCAAATTATTCGCCTGAGTTTGGGGAATAGCTTAGTGAATGAGCCAACAAACTGATTGGATGATGATGACTCCTGATAATGAACTTGATGTCCTTGGTTTTGCTTGGATACTGCCCTAATGCACCAATATTTCTATATGCATTATCACGAAAACTAAATATTAAACTGCACTTTAATTCAAACGTTCTCTGGATTATGCTGAACGCCAATGTTTACTGAAACCTCTTCTTAGCTATTTTGATCAACTTGCCTACTCCTCTAGAGTTACTGGAGCTGGCAGTCCCGGCTACGACCCTAGAAACATTCGACTCGCAGTTTTTCTTGCCTTAAATAGCCAGTCAATTTGGATAATATCTTACTATCACACCCTCAATTCGACTGCTAGTTCAAGGCTTCATCTCTTGTTGTGTAATTGCGAATGAAGATACATTAGGCAATTTTTTAAATTTAACTCAACCAGTTGTACAATCTGCCTTTGAATTCATGACCAGCGCTTGCTTCAGAGTGCTTTTACTGATAAAGTAAGCGTGGTGTGGATGACTATAGCGACTGGTTATTAAATTCTAAAAAAGTGGAATAACGTGGCGCAAAAAGTCATAATATCAAGTGAGTGACTATCAAATAAATTAGTTTACCTTGCCAAATGAACCCAAATCGGACAACTACCGGCTTCAAATTATCTTGCACGTAATAACAAGGTAAAAGACAAGATTTAGCAATTGTCTGTAATGGATGACTTAAGGACATTCTTATCATTGCTGCTAGACTGCCCACGACTAAGCGTCGATCCTCAGTACAATGTCATCCGCAGGCAATCATATTGAGCTGGCATTTCTACTCTGTGGAACAATTGATGAGTCAAGTTGGACACTGTCTGCGACCATTAGGGAAATGCCGAGTGGGCGATGTGGAGGAGGTTTAAGTGTTATAAAGCATTCGACATCTATTCTAGGCCTGTAAGGACGGCCTTGAGCCGAAACGTCAGGCACATTAAGGGTTCCAATGAAAACCTGCTGCCGCATAGAAGAATGCTAAATTAATCCTTTTTTTAAAGGCTTAGTTTCATTGGAGAAAGCATTCCGCGAAGATTTTAGCCGCATTTTTTCTTTAATTTGGCTATTATTGATGACTCAAAGGCTCAAGCAAACTCTTTGCCGAAAATTGCGGAATCCTGACAAAAAAACGGGCTTAACATGAGTTAGATACCTACCACGTGTCTACACTTAGGAAGTTTCAGTTTTGCTTTGGAGAGGTTCACACTATACGTGTATCAAAGGATTAAGTTTAATGTTACAATGTTAGCAAAAAAGTTCTCATATAATTCAGAACAATCACATGCGTTCATGCGGAAGGTATGAAAGGTTACTCTCACTTTTTAACGCCATCTTGAAGCACAAAGGTACAAAGGTCATTTTCTCGCATCTGCGCCTCCCCATAGTAATACGAAGTGAACAACCAACTTACCGCGTTTTACACAACAAAACTGCTCACGTTAACTTAGTGCTCTGTAGTTAACATGGTAACTTGAT